TTGAATGGAAAGGTATATTTGAATTTCATTTCTATCTTCAAGACTACAATTCTTCTCTAAACAGAAATAATGAGATATAAGATCATAATCTCTCACCTAGAACACTGAAATATCCTCCTCACTAGATTCCCTGATCTACTCTTCCCCCTCCAAACTAGCCTCCCAACAGCAGCCAGAATCGCATCTTCAAAACATAAATTTTATTCTTTTACTACAATAATTAAACCCCCAAGAGCTTTTTATTGGTCTTAGAATAAGAGGAAAATACTTAATACATCTTAGAAGGCCCTACATGGTCTTGTTCTTGCTTGTCTAGTCTGCCCTTGTAACTTTAACCACTGTCCCAGATATACCAATCTTTTTTTTTTTTAAGTCTCTCTAATATGCTACGTTTCCTTCCATCTCAGGGCCTTTGCAAGTGTTGGAATTACTTCCTGGAATTATCCCCTGCCTAGTTAACTACTACTCATCTACTCATCTTTTTGATCCCAACTTAATTAGAAATTTATAGGAGAAACCCTTCTTTCATCCCCCTTCCCCATCTTCCCCTCAAACAAGGCAGGTCTTCTATTACATGCTCCCACAGCATATTGTATTTTCCCATCTGCACACTTATTCCGGCTGGGAATAATTGTCTATTTGCAAAATAATGTGATTAAGAAGAGTCTACTTTCTCTGAAAAAATAAACTCTATAAATGCAGAAATCACTATTATTTTCTTCAACATTTTATCCTTAGTACATAGGCTTCTATCTGACTCTCCATGATGCTTGATGAATTCTTATTGGTTGAATACATGAATTAATTGCCAAAAGGGAAGCAGAAATATTTGGAAATGTGTTTTATGTAGATTTGCCTTAAGAGGCCTATAGGAGATTCAAGGGAAGATGCTTACCAGGTGGTTGGGGACAAAAAGCACTACAATTCTTCTCTAAACAGAAATAATGAGATATAAGACCATAATCTCTCACCTAGAACTTTAGAGTCAACTTTAGAGTCAAACTGTCAGGATTTCAAACCCAGCTTCATTGTTTATCTGTATGACTCTAAGAGAACTGTGTGACATCACTCAACTTTAGTTTCTTCTCCTGCAAAATTAAGATGATAATGGCATCTACCTCACAGGTGGTTGCAAGAATTAAATGAGATAATACATGTTCATTTGTTAAACCAGTGCCCAGCACACAGTAAGTATACAAGGAATGTTGCCATTATTGCTATCGTGTGTGTGTGTGTGTGTGTGTGTGTGTGTGTGTGTGTGTGTTGTCTTCTTTGAGATGGAATCTTATTCTGTTGCCCAAGCTGGAGTGCAGTGGCATGATCTCAGTTCATTGCAACCCCTGTCATCTGGGTTTAAGCAATCCTCTTAACTCAGCCTCCCAGGTAGTTGGGATTACAGGTATGAGCCATCACACCTGGCTAATTTTTATATTTTTAGTAGAAATTGGGTTTTGCCATGTTGGCCAGCCTGGTCTTGAATTCCTGATCTCAGGTGATCCACACACCTCGGCCTACCGAAGTGCTGGGATTACAGGTGTGAACCACTATGCCCGGTCTGTTGTTATCACTCTGGACCACAAGAAAATGTAGGAACTCAATACAGGTTTCCAAATCATTCCAGATGAGTGAAGTGATGAGGGTGATTGAGATGGCCTAGAGAGAGAACACACAGTAACAAAAGGCAAAAGAGAGACCTTGAGTAAATGCCAAAAGAATTCAAAGGAATAGGAAAAAAAAAAAAAGTACTGATAAGATGATTAGAAAGAAGGCCCGGAAAGTCTGACATTAACAAAGACAAAAGATCTTATTCTTTTCATTTGTTAACTTAAAATAAACCCATTCTTTAGGTGTTAAGTCTTAAAATGTCTGGGAGGCAATATCACCACACAGAGCCAAAGAGTATTGTGTTCTGTAGAAATTATCTGTTTTGGCTTGACACCATCCAAAGATTCTTTTCTCTTTATTATAATCAGACATAGCTTCCTTGATACGTAGTTGATATAAAATAACACATTCATAGAGGAAAGAAATAGGTGAATTTTTCACTAAATGGGGTAATGCCCTACATAAACCCCAGGGTCCTTTTTGTATCAAGGAATTTGCTTCAGAAAATCAATTGATTTTGAGAAGATGACATTTTCTTGTGAATGGAATAATAGCAACAAGAAGCAGCCTGCTGAGTTTGTTTCTTATCTGATTCAATGGATTGTATTTTCATTTCTAATTGCTCTTCATTAGCTGTGACATTTACAGGTGTCTGGAAAACCAAAAAGTGCATGTTTACTTATGATATTGTCCACTTTTTTCCTAAGGAAAATAAATGATGGTTCAAAGGCATTCCCTGAGGAATTCATCTCCAAGGGCAGCTACTCTTGGAGATGACCATGCCTTCTGTAACCATGGCATATTGGGGATCATCTGGTAATTAATACATTTTTTTGTGATTTTTACATTGCTTGCTTCCAGCTGGTAAACAAACAAGTCTCAGAATCAGAACATTTATTCTTTAATTAGATATGAAAATGACAGTTGGATTACGTTATGACATTTGCTATTAATAAATAACAGCGCTCATAATTTTACAAAGAGTGGATATGACAATTCTAATTATTTTCCCACATCAAAAGTGCTGTATCAGAGTCCCATGGGTAGCCAGTCATCTATTTATCATGAATAATTCAGAGAACTGTGGCTATAATTCTGGCTCAATTCTGATTGAAAATTTAGAGTTGTTAGACAAGATTTCTACAGACTGTTCTCTTGAGTGCTATTTCTGGATTTTGTATCTTTGCATATGCAAATTCTAGGAGGAATGTAAGCAATAATATTGTTTTCCACTCATTAGTAGAAGGACTGGCCGTTTTATTAGAGTCCACATCAACAAATACAGGCTGTACGGAACAGGACATGAAGATCATGCTCAGTTAATATTTGCTGTGCTAATTTTTAAAAAACGTATCATTATGAACATGTATACAATACCATCTGTCTAATTGTATTATATGCAGTGGGGGAAATGCTTCCTTTTGGAGCTGGCTTGTATTTTATAGAGTAATGGCAAGAGTCACAGTAGTTCTAGAAAATATTTCCAAATCATAGTGACCAGAATTACAGGCTTTAGTTTGGAAACTGCAACCATTATTTCTCTAAGTTTTCATTTACTTCTTTCTCCTTTTTTTGAGACATGGTCTCCCTCTGTCACCAAGAATGGAGTGCAGTAGCATGCTTATGGCTCACTGCAGCCTCAACATCTGAAGCTCAAGTGATCCTCCCACCTCAGCCTCCTGTGTAGCTGGGACTATAGGTGTGCATCACACACTTGGCTAATTTAGTATTTTTTGTAGAGACAAGGTCTAGCTATGTTGCCACGCTAGTCTCAAACTCCTGGGCCCAAGTGATCCTACTGATTCAGCCTCCCAAAGTGCTGGGAGTAGAAGATGTGAGCTACAGCACCCAACTCTCATTTACTTCCATTACAGATCACTTTATTATCTAAATCACTTTTATCTATTATAGTCTCATACATAACCTGGAATAATTTATAAGTGTCAAACACCATGTTTCAGCATTCGGCAAGCATGTCTGTTTTGTGACCAATTACTTAAATAACTAAACAAAGGAACAAAGAAAGAAATGGACACAAATAATAATGAAGTACATTGAATGACAGACAGACCTTACCTCCAAAGTTACAACCTGTCTGGACATATCCAGTACAAATCCCTTTACACTCAAACACATTCTGAGAAGCAGTAAGTGAATTCAGAGAGAATAGAGAATGAAAGAAATTACTCATTTCAAGCCAGGCACGGTGGCTCACACCTGTATTTCCAGCACTTTGGGAGGCTGAGGCAGGTGGATCACGAGGTCAGGAGATTGAGACCATCCTGGCCAACATGGTGAAACACCATCTCTACTAAAAATACAAAAGTTAGCTGGGAGTGGTGGCGTGTGCCTGTAATCCCAGCTACTTGGGAGGCTGAGGCAGGAGAATCTCTTAAACAAGGGAGTTGGAGGTTGCAATGAGCCAAGATCGTGCCACTGTACTCTTGCCTGGCAACAGAGCAAGACTGTCTCAAAAGGCAAAAACAAAAAACCTTCATTTCAGAATTTGCTTTTCTTTGACACAATCAACAAATCTAATAGCCTGTCACAGACAAAGTACTAAAGGCACGACTGAGAGCATGGTCTCTACCTTTCAGAGGCCCAGAGTCTAGGCCAGTTAAATTCACAGAACTATACTCTCCAAATAACTCTATCGTTTACATGGTCTTTTATTTCGCCAGCAGGCAAATTTTTGTCCCTGGGCAGCCTTCTCGAATTATTTATAGCCTGAGAAACAATTTCTTTCTTCTTAGTAGATTTCTGTTCTCCTCCTTTGAACTCTCAGCAGTACAAACCTGATTAGCAGAAAGGCCAGGTCCAAATATTAATGAGATAATTATGATTGTTTTCTTATACCAGGCAACCAGCTACTTCTGGCAAGGACCAGTAGGATAAAAAGCAGGAGGTCAAGGGTAAAACACTGGTTTCCAGAAATTACTTGGGCTCTTGGATATCTTCCTTGAAGAAGCAAAATCTAATAACGAACATCACAAAGACAATAGCACACAGGAGTGGGATGAAAAGCAATGAGTTCAAAGCCCGGAGAAGGAAAAGGTACTTGTTAGAAGTTTGTCTGCGACCTGGCATCTAAGGTTTATGAAACTTTTTTATGAATATATCCTGGCAAATATCTTCTATAACGAAAGTGTGTTTAAAATTTTTTTTTCCTTACTGAGCGTGTAGCAAGGTCACAAAAAGTCATACTACCACTCGGAAATACATACAAAATTTAATTTGTTGATTTTCTTTAAATACCTTTCTCTTAAGCCCAAGATACTGTTTAGCAGAAGAAAGAGACAAAATGTTCCATCTAGTTTAATGTTAAAGTAAATCCATTAATTGATAGACCTTTTCCTAAAATTGTGAGTAGATGGCACAAGAAGTAAGTGGCTTACCTTTCCCTGTGGTGTGAGTCCTCAGGAATGTTCTGGTACCTGTATGTACCCAACACCATGCCCCTTGTCTTCCTAGGCAGTAGCCAGTGCTAGAGTTAAAATAAGAAAAAGTTACGCAAAATTGAATGGCTATCGAGGTGTTCCAGATGAAGGCAGGGTAAATGAAAGGGCAAGAAAGCAAATGGCAACATGACATCTTCAAGGCAGCTGCAGATGGTTCAATAGAAATGAATGGTAGGAGCTTATGTGAGAACGTCAAAGTTAAATCTGGGAGTGCAAGCAAGGCCTGGGGTCAATGTTTCATCCTGTGCATACACGACAGGTATGCATCTTGAAAATATTGCTCAATGTCTACCCCAGGCCTCTGTAAATTTGTCTTTACATAATTATCATTTATAGTTTTTGACTGTCATTAAGAGCTGAGGTAAAAAAATAAAAATAAAAACACTGAACATGTAATCTGTAAGAACTTTTAGTAAAAAGGAAAGCACCATTTAGTACATAATTTTCTGCTTGACTGTATTTATAGATGTATTTATAACATGCAGGTTGAAGTTCATAATATTCAATGCGGTCATAATACATAAGGACGTCATAATACATTCACCTCTAATCATAAATAAGGACATCCTAATGCATTCACCTCTAATCAATGAATCGGGAAAAGATTAAGGTTCTGTTTAGCAAGGTAAAATGTGGTACATCTTGTAGTTAGATAGTAAGAACTAATCATCATCTAGTTTCCCTCTTGCCTCGGCTACTGAGAATCTAAGTATTAAGTTTGGGTTTAATGATGATACTATTCTTAGTCTGAGATTTGTTTTTCTTTGTGTGTGTGTGTCTCTTCTAGACATCTGTGATTCCCAACATTATTACTTTAACTTTTATTCTGCTACTTGTCTCATCCATGTTCTCACTATGAGCCAATTTAGACTTCTTCAAGAACTAGCAATTCCTGTGCTACTAGAGATCATAGAATCCTGCCTGCTACTAGGAGGCTTCTAGAGTTCTCAAGCTATATAAATATTTTGGCAGGATCTTTTTCTTTTCCCTCAAAAGCAATATCAAATCTCCAGCTGCTGGGGAATGGTGCTTTTCCCTATTATTGGAATCAATGAGTCAAGGCATATGTCTTTAATGGAAGTTTTGGCAAGCATGGTATTAGATTTAGTATTAGATTTCACTGAAGTAAACTGAATGGTTTGTTTTCTGCTCTGCAAGTACAAATCAATGGCTTGAATCAAACACTGCAGTTTATATCATGGGAGAAATATTTACACAAAGAAAAGCACTGATAGATGCACAGCACTTAAGACAAATGTAAGTTTTTAGAAGTCTCAGCAGCATAGATTACAGAAAAGGGAAGACACACACACGAAAAATCTCCCCAGCCAAAAATAGTATATAAGCCTATGTTAGGAAATGTGCTTCACCCTCAAAGAGTCTAGTTCAGTTAGCATCTTCTGGTTGCAACAAAAAATATTCACTTTAGTTATCCCCAGAAATATTGGGGATGGCAAGATTGTACACAGTAAATACAAATGCACTGGAACACAGGAAAAGTCAGACAACTTGAGTGGGATCCACAGCAGAGCCAGGCTACCGAATTTCCACCAATAGGCTGAATTTCAAATCTGTAAATGTAACCAACACATAATTAATACTTCATTGATACTGCATTAAAATGTACAATAAAATACTGTTTCCAGACTTCATGGCTGCCCTACAGTGATATGTTACTAATATTTCTGCTTGCCTTTTTCTGCCCATCACCAGTGTCCTGGGATTTTTTCCCTTTTACCTTCATATATTTTCTTGTTTCTCCTTTAATATTTTCTGCTTTTGTCCAACTCCAGCTTGACCTTGACTTATGACCCCAAGCATATATTGTGAATGCTCTCTATAGGTCCTTTGACATACCTCCCATTTCTCTCTGAATTCCTAATTTGGTCTACATGAAAAAAGTCGGATTGGCCTGTATATCTTTTTATACCAGGACCCATTGTAGGTAATTGGCTAATCTCTGGATTTGGGTAGGGAAGACTATGGGGTCACATGGTATACCTGCCCTATGAACTATGAACAAAGAAGTTCTACTTAGGAGGGACACAGGGCCGGTGCCATCACTGGTAGGTCTAACATACAGTCCTCTACATGTAATAAGAAAGGGTCCAGTTCGACTATCATGTTCCCTTTTTAAAAAAAAAAAAAAAAAATAGGCCGAGCATGGTGGCTCACACCTGTAATCCCAGCACTTTGGGAGGCCGAGGTGGGTGGATCACGAGGTCAAGAGATTGAGACCATCCTGGTCAACATGATGAAACCCCATCTTTACTAAAAATACAAAAAAAAAAAAAATTAGCTGGGCATGGTGGCGTGTGCCTGTAATCCCAGCTACTCAGGAGGCTGAGGCAGCAGAATTGCCTGAACTCAGGAGGCGGCGGTTGCGGTGAGCCGAGATCGCGCCATTGCACTCCAGCCTGGGTAACAAGAGCGAAACTCCGTCTCAAAAAAAAATAATAAAACAAGTAAAACTTCATCTTCTGAGTTTTAAATAGATTTTCCCAATACTCAACATTGGCTTCTGCAGTGACTACATATAGCCTAATCAAAATATAATTAATATTCAATAAAGTAAAGCAAATGTCCCTAATGAGAACAAGTTACTACCTTTAAAAATAGTTTCACATGCATTCCAGAAATAAATACAAATGAATTTCTGATTCTTGAGTGGTGTTCTCTATCCTCATTGCTCTTCAAGTGGCATCGTCTCCTGCAGCAATTGATAGCTCTAAAGGCATTATTACTCAACTCCTAATGCTTTCATTGCATATTGTGCGTCTTGCAGGCTTCAAGAATTTGTGAGAAAAAAAATCTTTGTTTCAAAGTACTAAAAACATTAAAGTTGCATGTACTAATAAATGTGAATTAATAGAATATAGTATTATAAATACACAAAGTTCATTGAAAGCAGGGACTGTGTCTCTCTTGTTTACTACTCTGCCCCAGACACTAGTACAATGTCTGATACATAGTATGTGTCCCATATATTTTTCAAAATAAACAATCAATCTGTCAATTAATGACTGATAGATCTAGTTGCCCACAACTTCTAAACAATGGAGATGAGAGTCTAGTGAGAGCCATTTTTGTAAATATCAAAAAGTACCTTTAAGTTCTACAGAATAACTTAGTAGAATATTAAACGAGAAGTGGAATAGCTTCAAATGCAGATCTTCTAATTAAAAATTCTAGATAAAAGCAAAAGTAAAACAAAACCCTACAGAGGTATTTAATTATTCTTAGCCTCTCTCTCTCTGTGTCTGTCTCTGTCTGTCTCTCCCTCTCTCTCTCTCTCTCTGTCTCTCTCTCTTTCTCTCTCTCTCTCTCTCTCTCTCTCTGTCTCTGAATGCAACTTCTAATAACCAAAGCTTAATGTTTACTGTTTAATCTTCTTAGAAGAAAAGATTCTTAAAAATCGCCATGAAACCCCTCAGCAGGCCAGGGCAGAATCCATCCTCCAGCAGGAGTTAGTGTCCCATTGCCTATCTTGGAGCTGAGTTTGAAGGAAAAGTCCTTGCTCTGGAGTTCCTCTCTCATCTCACTTGGTCAATGCAGCATAATTAGATTTCTAAGCTCATATTCTCTCACCAAATAGGAGTAACAGAAGGCAGAAAACCAACAGAATGTTATGTGTTACTCATGTTCAACTTAGTGTGAATGATTTGGCAGAACTTGATAAGAATAAAAGCATGATTTTGCTACTGATGAGAAATAGTTACATATGCTTTCATCATACAGCTGAGCACCCAAATGAGAGACGCTGTTCTGAACACTGTCATTGCCTTTCTCCTGAAAGTCTGTTGTCATCAATGGCAACCAGAGAAAGGGGCTGATTCACAAACCTGAATCACTGATGTTATGACCAGAGTTCTAGAAGTTTTTGCCCTGGGGCCCTGAGGCTGGATTCTTTCTGCTTCTGATTTGGCAACTAATACCAGCTCATTTGGTAAGGTTTAGAGAAACTCTTTAGTCTCTTCTTTTAAAATCAAACCAAATTTTGCCGTTTTGTTCTTTCACAAAGGACAATCTCTTTGCTAAATGAAAAAAAAAAAATGTTAATTCTTCTAGCTGTTGAGCCATGATCTCTGATAACAGGTACGAGTATCAGAATATTCCCTTTCACAAAGTGTATTAATGGTGTCATCCCTGTTTAAAGGCCTGAATGTATTGTTTCTGCCTGGTTTAATGTATCGTTTTTAAACAGTATGTCTCTGAACCACTAAGGGCCAATGAGCGGGGGCTGGCAGATGGCACACAAGGCCCTCGACCCTTCCTCTTGATACCCTTAATCCTCCTCCTTCAACCAGAAAAGCTCTACTTTACTTCTGTTTCACATGTCGAATTTCTGCACAGGATTTCATTTAACAAAATGATTTGGAGATTTGGAAAAGATGGAAAACCAGTGTGAGGGGAATGAACTCCTAACATAGAAAATCTGGATTCTAGTCCTGCTGCTGGCCCCAATTAGCTAGTAGACATTGAGAAATACTTCAACTTTGTAACGTCTGACTCCTCTGCTGTTAAAATGAGGCATCAAATGGCGAAACTCAAGCCAGGCATACAGTGTCTTAGAGGTTTCTGAGAGGGCCTTGGGCTTTACTCAAGAAAGAAGGGTGGAGGCTCCATTTCTTCAACCACTGCAAACAGCAAACTCTATTATATAGACACACAGAGAGAAATTTTATACAAAATGTAGTTGGAGAAAAGCTTTAAAAAATTGAAAAGCATTCAATTCTATATGAAAAAACCTCCTTCATTCTAATATTCTATTGTTCTATAATTCCAACTTTCCACTTGGTTAAAAAAATACTTTTTAATGGCTTTCTTATTCATAGTATTATGCTATCTGTTGGTACTGATTACCTATATGACACAATAGTATAACACACACACACACATGTATGTATGTATATTCAGATGTTCCTTGACTTACAGTGAGTTACAGTCTGATACGCCCATCATAAGTTAAAAATATTGTAAGTGAAAAATGCATTTAATACCTAGTCTATCAATCATAGTTTAGACTACTTCAAATGTGCTCAAAATGGTTAATTAGCCTACAGTTGAGCAAAATCATGCAATCCAAAGCCAATTTTGTAAGAAAGTATTGAATATCTCATGCAATTTATTGAATACTGTACTGAAACTGAAAAATAGAAGGGTTGTATCAGTACCTGAAGTATTATTTCTACTAAATATGTATCATTTTATCACTGTAAAGTAAAAAAAGTCACAAGTCAAACAATCATAAGTCAAGGACAGTCTGTATAAAACAAAATTTTTTCTAAGCACTGAGAAAAAAATATATATATATACAAATTTATACATACATGTAATTTCATATGTATTTACATACATACATATTTTTCTTTGGTTAGTATTAGCATTCTATAAATTGTCTTTCTTGAAATACTTTTCTGGGAGATACTAGTAAGCATGGAATGAAAAAAATACCATATTCAGATGAGTTTAAGAGATTATGCATATTTAATCTCCTTGTAAGTAATTCACAGTATACATGTGCATGTTTAAGGCAGCATCTTATTGAGAAGAACTTCAATGAAAAAATCTATTTGATCTGGTTCAACTCAGAGTTCCCAAACTAATTTAAGTGAGGCATTCTTGATCAATATCCTATTGAAATTGCATGAACCATGATTATGAAGCAAACTGGGAAACAATAATGTAGTATTGATCTAGTGTGATGGACTGCATATTTTTGTTACCCCAAAATTAATGTATTCACTGAAGCCCTAACTCCCAGTATGATGGCATTTGCGGTGGAGCCTTTGGGAAGTAATTAGGTTTGGATGAGGTTATGAGGGTGGTGCCCTCATGATGTGATTAATATCCTTATAAGAAGAAGAGACATTAGAGTCTCTCTCTCTCTCTCTCTCTCACACACACACACACACACACACACACACACACACACACACATTCTCCCTCTCTCTCTCTCTCTCTCTCTCTCTCTCTCTCTCTCCTCTCTCTCTCTGCACTGGCACAAAGAGGAGGTCACATGAGCCACAATGCCTTCTTCAAGTGGCCATCTGCAAGCCAGGAAGGGGGCCCTTACCAAAAGCCAAATCTGCCAACACCTGAAACTTGGACTTCCCAGTGCCCAGAACTGTTAGAAATAAACATCTGTGCTTTAAGCCACTCAGTTCATGGCATACTGTTATGGCAGTCCAAGCAGACTAAGATATCCAGGTAAGAAAATTATGACTAGTTAATTGATTTGGCCATGGTTACAAAACCTACTGACAGAAATAGCATTCTCAATTTCTAACTAAAAATCAGTTTGAAAATTCCAGTCAAGATGGTGAATTAACTTCATACTGTGACATCTTACTTTTCCTCCAAAATAACTATTGAGAACTCTAAGAAAATAAAATTTAAACTATATGCATATGCTTAAAAACAAAAACATCATGATGGACCATAGTTGGAACAGAAACACAAAGCAGGGAACATGGTTAAATCCCAGAACCTGTAGGATCTATGATCAGGAAACAGGTAGATGGGACTGCAAGTGAGGAAGACTAAAAAGTCTATGCTAGACAAGGGACAGGATCCAGTCTCACTGCTTGAAGCCAGGTGCTGGGATGGAAGTAGTTCATTCTCCTCATTGCTCTTAAGGAAATGCTAATAAATTCCTTTCACCCTAGACCAAGACTTTATACACAGTAGAATCAGCAAAGCTGGTTTACAAAGCATCACCTGACACTCAGGAACTGGCTCTCAGACTGGATATTTATTATTTCCAGCATCATAAAAAAGCATGAGGAACAACACATCAAAACACCTGATTCCAGACTAGGGATCCAGAGGGCTAGATGAAGACAACAAAAAATACCACTGGACTAAGAGATGAGTGCAAAAGAGAAAAGACAGAAGATAAAATCATCCCACTCTGGAGGGAGACTGCATACCATGGGAAGAAAACAGGTGCTAAATGTGGCTGCAAAAAAAAAAAAAAAATCAAAAAATCACAGTGGGAATAATCATTCCCTTTGAGTGAGTAATATTCAAATAATATTCCTTCTAAAATTTTATAAAAATAATTTGGAATATTCAGAGAGAAATTTCTTTATATTCAGAAAATTTCTTTAAAGGGAATAATAAATTGAGATAGAAAAATAGGAAAATAAAAAGAATGAGTACATAAAAAAACAACTCGAACTTCTTAAAATAATGAAACACACACAAAAATTTAGATGAATCCAGTATTTGACAAAGAAGGAATTAATGACTAGGAAGAAACTTCTCAAGATGCAGCCCAGAGGGACAAAGATAAAAATTCTGAAAGAGTAACTAGGACACAGGGTCTGGAATAAGAGATGCCGATGTCTGTCTGAAGGAATGCAGGCAGAATGTCAAAAGAATGGCAGATGAAAAGTAGTGAAAATCATTTCACTTCTGCTCAAAATCCTTCACAAGCTTCTACATCATTCAGAGTGACATCTATCGTCCTGAAAATGTCGTGCAAAGCCAACGAGCTCCCACACCCAGTCTTACCTGCCAGCTTTCCAACCTCACCTTCTCCTGATTTTTGCTTTGTTCTCTTTCCAGTCACACTGTCCTCATTTCTTTTCTCTAAACTTTCCAGGCATGCTCCAGTACCAGAACTTTCACACTGGCTGTTTCCCTCTGCCTGGAACTCTCCTCCTCCAGAATGCCATGCGCCTTACTCACTCACCTGTTTCAATTCTTTGCTCACATGTCATCTTCCCCAACCACCCGTTTAAACTTGCATCTCCAGCCCCTTCCCTGCTTTACCCTTCGCCTTAGACCTCAGTGTTATCTCACCTACTATATGCTTCAAACATTTACTTATGTCTGTCTTTCTGCACTGGGATTTAATTTCCTTAAGAACAGAAGTGTTTTCTTTGTATTTACTGCTGTACTTCCAGTGCCTGATATATTGTATACACCCAGTACCTAATTACTGATATAATTCATAAATGACCCCTGGCATATGAGAAGCACTCAATAACGGTTAGTGCTGTGATAAAGCTCTGTGCATTAATGAAGGTTAGATATTGCAATTTAGCCACACCCTTCCAATTACAAATAATTTCCTGCTTAGACTGTTCTTCTAATCAGTCTACTCCAGAAGAATCAGACACATTCTTCCAATAATGGCATGATCTCTGAGGTGCCAAGCTCCCTCTGACATTTCTTATTTTACTTTAGCATCAATTCCAAAATGGGGAAATTATCTCTATCTTATTGTGGTTATGAGACTAAGATATGGCAAAATTAATTTCCCCAAATTCATACACCCAGAGAATGGTAGAGAACATTGGAACCTCAGACTGTTCCTCTCCAGAGACTCTGCAGCCCTCTCCACTGGTGGATTGGTCTGCTTTCTTCTCTGGCACTAGAACCCTCTATAACCACAATCTCTGCTCCATGCTGCCTCTTGTTTTATCATCTCTTCCATAGTGACTCTAGTGAACACTGTTGCCATTCCTCCTCACTAAACCTTATTTATCTGGATATCTGCCTCTTCTAAAGATAACTCTGGGCATCTCCAGCTCCAAGGGTAAATCTCCATTTATTTAAGCAAATCAGAAAACTAAGGTGACATCACCAGAATTGGCAGAATAGGGAATTCTAAGACTTTGTCATGCCAGGAAGCCAACTAATAAACTGGCAAAGACTGTCAGAATCTGAGCCAATCATGGCAATCCATTCTTCTTACCAGTGATTGGCTTAAGAATAGACATTTGATACAATTCCAGTCAATCAGATACAAGTTACCTGGAGTACTTCTGAGAATAGTTCTCCATTCCTGAGTGGAGGAAAAACAGGAGGAATGGACTCTCCTTCCTCCAGACATGTTCATATTTAAATAAGATGCCCGAAGTACTACCTCCATCTTTCAACCAACCCAAAGATGAAACTAACACGTTGAAGAGAACAAAACCAACAGAATCTCAGAAAAGTTAGAGACTTTGTATACCAAGCTCAATGCCTACCTTACCCATGAAAGTTATGTGAAACCTATTAAAATTGCATGGATGGTTCAGAAAGGTTGAGTTGATTTCTGTGGCTCTAACTGCAAACATCCTAATAATACATCATTCCATTTCACCTGAGAAGTAGCCCAACCTCCAAAAATCACTTAAATGAATATATCTTTGTCTCTACTATTTGACCACTGACAATGATTTGGAGCTCATGGTTTCTGAGATTGGATTCATTACAGATCTGCCACTAAAAGTCACCTAAGGTGGAACTTCTGATCTTTCTCACAGAGCAGTTGAAAGTAGGGGTGGAAGAGTTGAGGTAAAAAAAATCGAGCTCTAGTTTGTCATTGAGGATGACATATCAAGTGGTGCACTGAGGCACAAAGAAGTTAAGTGATTTGGCCACGCTCACCATGTTAGTTGATAGACAAACTGGCACTATAAGACAAATTCCTCACCTTCTGTCACAAGGCATTGCCCATGCCCAGGTTAAATGTGGCTGTATTCATACTCCCTGATGCATTGTGTAACTGAAAGAAGGGCAGAAGGAATGCAAAGATTTAATGGAATTCAATTATGCCTGGAAGATAAATAGTTTGCTTACCAAGGATTATTTTAGTAATGCAGAAAGAAACTACCATTTAGAAATATGATTCTACAGAGCTATTGACCTCTTGGTTGTATCTCTGTCAGGTGAGCAATTAAACTACAACATCCACCCTCTTTGTCAAGAACATTATTAGAAAACCTAAGCCTGTTTCACTTCTTGCATCTTATTTGGCAAATGATTTCCTTTTACCTCATTACAGAAAAACAATTGTCCTTTGACATTCAAGTATAGCTCTCATAAACCTGGCTGCTTTCTGACGTCTGAAGTCATTCTTAGGAGGATGTTTGTTTATGCTTATATTAGAATTGTTTCAGAGCCTTAGGTCTTCTTTAAATGAATACACACACACACACACACACACACACACACACACACACACGTGTACATGAGTTAATATATGTGAAGTTTCCAGAACTCAGTCTGGCACATGTAATCACTATACAAGTATTATCTATTATTATTATTTAGCCCATTAATGGTAGATACAAACAGCAATGCAAACTGAGTCCTTGCTGTATTCCGGGCACAGAGCTAGATGTCTCAAGTACAATTGTACATTTAATGGAAACACACAGTTCTTACCCTCTTGCTTCACTCTCAGGATAAGTAACATAAACAGGCAATTGCAAGGCAATGTAACCAGTGCTGGGTGGAGGTTGTATAGAATGCCACGCTAAATGTGGAAAACGAAAAGAAAGAAAAGGGAGGAAACATTACCTAAGTTGAAGGAAGCCTTTTTGAAGGGAGAGGCTCCTCAGCTGGGGTATGAAGGGCAGAAGGAAACTAAGCAAACAATTGAGAATGAAAGTGCCACAGGGAGAGAGAAAAGTGTTTTCTTAGCCCAATGATAAGATAAAACAGTTCTCCTGCTGGCTCCACCCTCATCAATGAACAAACTGAAAATGTCTTAGTTGTCTGCTGTTGCCCAGATGTAGGAGGAAGATGTGGTCTATTCCTTCTTTTTGCCATGTGAACACACACAAATTAGCTTCAATCAACTATTGACAGTGGTTTACAGTGCACATTTCAAATACAGAGAGCCTGGGAAAGGGGTGAAATCAAGAAGGACTTTTCACAACAGTCTAATTCCTCCCACTGGAGGGAGACCCACTCCCCAGCCCATCTATCGCACCCCATGTGACACACACCCATATTTCATCCTACTAACTCCTTTCCAATGCCCCACTTCTTTTAGCATTCTCTCCCAGACCAAAATCCTTTAACCTTCCCTTCTTTAAACAGAATTGTGCTTATTTACCTAGGGGGTAGCAAGCTCTGAGTTTCCTGTTCCTTAGAAATTTTTCTAGCTTCCTTGCAGCTATTCTTTAACTCTCATTCTGGTATAAGATAGAGAAACAGAAAGTTTGAGTAGAAAGGGGTTTGGGGTGGTCTTCTGCCACAGTTTCCTAATCGTTTTTTCTTTGGCTGCCTGAAAAAAAAAAAAAAACAGGGCCAGACACAGTGGCTTGTACTGTAATCACAGCACTTCGGGAGACTGAGGCAGGAGGATCACATGAGGTCAGGAGTTTGAGACCAGCCTGGGCAACATGGCAAACCATCATCTCTACTAAAAATACAAAAATTAGCTGCTCCTGGTGGCACATTCCTATAGTCCCGGCTGCTCAGGAGGCTGAGGTGGGAGGATGACTTGAGCCTGGGAGGAGGTGGCAATGAGCCAGGATCACGCCACTGCACTCCAACCTGGGCAATGGAGCCAGACCTTGTCTCAAAATAATAACAGTGGCAAAAATAATAATAATCACAGACAGTATACACTGAGAAAGTCAATTTCCTTCCAATAGCTGTCTCCAGTTCTATGCATCGTTCTCCCAACTCCAAGAGCATAAGTTTCAGATAGCAATTTGCTTAAGAGAATGTTGTTTCCTTTCCAATCACATTACAATGTCCTCCTCCAAGAATTTAACCTTAGGTGTGTCTTCTCGGTTCCTGGATATCTCCTGCTTCTGTACCATGAGTTGAACACATAAGAAATTGGAAAGTCTCATTCAATAAAAATATATTTATCAAAAGCACAAATTGAAATATTGAATAGTGAGATTTAGTTTTTACGGGTTTTGTTTTATTTTTTTTCTAGACCTAACAACATTTCTATAAGATTTTGACAATATAATGAGAAATACTATTTTTTAAATGAGTGGTCACTCACTTCAAAGGACACTTGGAGAATAAAGTAAGGACTTCTACCTAAAGAGGGTAGGCACACATGTATCATTTCCCTCAGGCCTGACCATCTGGGATTTATAAAAATGACATCTAATTATCTTTTCAATCCATAACTACATTCAAAATCAAGAACAGGAATGTCCATTGAGCAGAAACCATTAGAAATTCCCAGATGAGCAATAAGTAAAAAGAGGTCATCAAATCTAAGGAATAACATCAGGCTAATGGGAAAAAATAAATACCATGGGAAAATAGTATTAAAATCAAAATTAAAACATTTAAATAATATGAAATGCAGGGAAAAAACACAGCTGAAGGTGGATTGGTGAGTTAGAAGGCTGAATTGATTAGTTTTCCAGCAAATATTATAAAAGAATTCTCCAGAATATATCATAAATAGATAAAGAATTAGAAAATATGAACGAAAAGTCAAGAAACATAAAATATTCAGAATTTCCAGTAGTTACCTCCTCAGAAAATCAAGAATGAGAAACTAAGGTTTTAGAGAGAAAATTTCAAAGAAAAAAAGTGTGATTCTGATCATTCCTGGAGCCTTTTTTAATAATGAGGGAATCATTTTCAGAATAACTTATTCATAAGTCAGTTAACTCATATTTACTCAGACTTAACGATGTGTCAGGCACTGTGCAAGGTGCTGACAATCTAATAAGAATACAAAATCCTCTCCCTGGAAAGTCACAGATCAAAATTTTTCCACATTATTTTAGGGGTTAAGAGTTCATGGATCCATAATCTTTTATATTTTTATTTGGAACAGTTCACCTGTTTTGACTGGAGAGACTTGGCAAAAAAAAAGAAAAGACTATTTTCCCTATTGAATTGCTGGATTGTTTGACAAGGTGTATCTTAGCAACTGATTGTTTAAAGTCATGAAATCATAAAGAGACTCAGTTTAGAATAAAACTGGAATTGGTAAACTCACACTCTCAGTGCTATCCCACTACAGTTATAGAAAGGTCATACTCACATTCTGAGTGCTATCCCACAAGAGTTATGGAATGCTCATCTTTCATCAGTTGAGGTAAATTGAAGTATCTGAACAATTGTTAACTATGTTAAGCAATAAAAATTGCCAGTTTTCTACTAATGGTTAATAGACATCTCACAGAGAATCTCAGCTGCAAAGAAAGTCAGCAACCAGAAAAGAGAACAGTCACTCTACAAGATTTTGAGAGAGGGAAACTTTGTTGGCACCATCTAGGGAAACTAGGGGGAAAAAGCATTTGTTTGAGATAATAGTATGTAAATAAAGAGTAAACTACTGAATTAACTTCCAGAAAATTAAGTGTGTTTGAAAACATCACCAATTTATGGTGGAACATTTATTGAATTTTAGATCAGATATTTATTGGCACAGAGAAAAGCTGGAGAAAATTAGAAAAGAGTAATTTAAAACAGCATCAAATAGAAAAGACTGATTTGATAAGAACTAAAGATAGAAGAATAACTCTATCGATAGGTAGACAACCAACTTAAAAAGGACAAAAATACAGGTCAATCAAAATACTGGATTTGCCAATGATATAAGGAAATAACATGTTATACAATGGAACATAAATTTCGTAATCTAAAACAGAATAAAAACCCACTCCACTTGTGCAAGATGTGAATGTATAAGTGAAGAACTACAGTAGTCTTTCAAGGGACCAATACAATATCTACCTACATGTCTATGCCCTGGCTTCTATAACCCAGTGGTCATAAACATTATATTTTAAGATGTATTTTTATGGAGATTTCTGATTATGACATATTGAGTAAAAGCCATGATATTTTATTATCAGCTTCAGAGTACATCATGGAGGCAACCATTATAGTCTCTTAAATCATTGTGGGCTTTTTTGATATAGAATCTCACTCTGTGGCTCAGGCTGGAGTATAGTGGTATGATCATAGTTCACTGCAGCATCAACCTCCAGAGCTCAAGTGATTTTCATCCCTCAGCCTCCCAAATAGTTGGGACCACTGATGTGCCCCACCACACTGGCTAACTTCTTTTTATTTTTGTAGAGATGAGGTCTCACTTTGTTTCCCAATCCAATTTCAAGCTCCTGGCCTTCAAGGATCCTCCCACCTTGGCCTTTGAATTCACTGGGATTACAGATAAAAATTAAATAATTTTAGGTATTAGGCCAGCTTCTCTGAAGAGATGGGAAGACAGTTAAGTGATCAATAGAATACTATCTGATCTACATTTGTTGTTATTAATTTATACCTCTGTACACTCTAGGAATTAGTTTTATTTATTTTTTAGTTTTATTTTTCTCAGAGTTCTTAAAATTTGTGGTCCCTTCTGTGCTCCTGACAAATTATTAAAACTTGTCATATATTGTATTAGCACATTTTCACACTGCTATAAAGAAGTACCCAAGACTGGGTAATTTACAAAGAAAAGAGGTTTAATTGGCTCACAGTTCTACATGGCTGGGGAAGCCTCAGGAGACTTACAATCATGGCCAAAGGAGATGGGAAAGCAAGGTACATCTTACATGGCAGCAGGAAAAAGAGAGCAAAGAGGGAAGTGCCACACTTTTAAATAATCAGATCTTGTAAGAACTCACTATCATGAGAACAACATGGGGGAAATCCACCCCTGTGATCCAATCACCTCCCACCAGTTTCCTCCCCTGACACGTGGGGATTACAATTTGACATGAGATTTGTGTGGGGGCACAGAGCCAAACCATACCATATATGGTTTGACCAAAATATTGTTAAGGAGACACTAAATTACATTAAATCTGTGTGCAAAGAGGTAACTCACAAAGCTAGCCACCAAAGGTCAGGGTCCTTTAAGTATTTGAGACATGCCGAAGTCTTCAGAGTCAAACGCCTGTAGGAATTGCAATTGGGCTTGTTTGTAACCACTGACAAGTCATACTTTTCTGCCCATTCATTGCCTGACTTCTTTGCTTTATGCAACATTTAATAGCCATTTATTCTCTTTTGCATTGCCAACAAATTAATTAGCCAGAATAAGCAGTTGAGTGATATTACTAAAACATAAGAAACATGTCAAACTATAAGCTATCTTGTAGAAGTTAAACCAAATTTTAAAATCTGATAATGTTCACCATAGTTATATTTTGCTTCAAAATAAAAGTTAATTGCTAAGACTTGGATTTTTAGAAACAACAAAATAAATCAGAATTATTAGCAACTTATGATGAAGAAGGTTCTTATTAGGAAAAAGCTAATGGATCATGAGACCCAGTAACAACCTGGCAGGGCTCAAATGCTATTAGAGGCCTCTCCTTCCTAGTATTTATTAATTTTGCAATGAAAGAAGGTTGGGGCCTTTTCTAAGAAACAAGAACACTAATTAAAACTAATCAATAAAATTCCTCGCAAACCGTGAAATGACAGAATAAACGGGAAGCGCACAGCATGGTTAAGAATGCAAAGATAAACAGGAAATAAATCAAAGTGACCTCCTGCTGCTGTCTTGGCACATCTCCTGAACAAATGTTATATTTAATTCTGAGGTGATTATCTTTGATATGCCTGCCATGGGTGAGGGCAGATACCCCATGGAGGAGTGAGCAGTCTCTGTGTAAAGGCAGAGACTAAGAGGAAGAGGCAGGTCCTCAGAGAGAAAACCGGCACTAACAAAGCCATACTGTAGGAAAGAGGTACAGTGTGGTCAATGAGCCCTGTGCTTGCAATCAGAAGACCTGGGTTCAAGTCTTGGCATTACATGTTCCTATTTGGATGACTTCGGCTAAAGCACTGTGTTGCAGTTTCTCATCTGTGTAGCATAACAATGCTCACTTTGACCTCTCCATTTGAACGTTATAATGATCAATTAACCTATATATTTAAATTAAAAAGGTTTTTCACATATAAAGTTATTTTAATAACAAAATAGTAGTATATTATTATCAATACTGGTAGTAGTAACTAGGAAAGAACAGTATACTACAGGCCAAAAGTTAAGAGCAAGACCAAAGGAGCTGACTTAATATGGAAGCAGTATAATATAGAAGCGGCAAATGGTGCAGCAGTTGAGAGCCTCAACTTTGAAACCAGCCTGTCTAGATTTGAATCCCAGCTCTGTGATATAATAGATATGTGACTGTGGGCAAGTTACTTTTGCTCTCTGTGCTTCAGTTTTCAAATCTATAAAATGCAGATAATAGTGTTAACTTCATGAGTTTGAATAGTAAGTGAATATATACATATTCATGTTCAACATGGTACCTGGCACATAGCATATATTATACAAGTGTTTTGCTAGTATTATAATGCTGGCAACACTAAGGTGTTTAACTCCTTCCTCATTGGAAACTAGACTGCTCACAAACTCTAGAATTGGGTTTGTGATTCCAGATATAAAGAATTAGAGGCACCCTATGCAGTCATCTAAGCAGTTGATTACATAAACCATGAGAAAGCTATTCCACATTTACCACAGCTCAGATTTCAATTCATGTGAGAAACGGACAGAAAAAGTTTACTTTTCCACCCCATTACTACATTTTAGTCATATATTTGCACATAAGAAAGCAAATTAATTTGTTTAGGAAACTAGATAGACCCTGGTCATTATCTGTATTGATCAAGTGAGAAGATGTAGAGTGAGTTTTATCATCTCTACTAATCTTGTTTTACTTATTTTCATATTTTGTATCAGAGTAAAGGTATATATTTTCCTTATACATTGTATAGCAGTTGTACAAGGCCCTTGGTTTTCTTGTTTTGTTTTAGTTTTGATGGCTTCCATTTAGATAACATATTTTCACTGATAAAAGAAAAACTTCAGCCAAGTTAATTAAAAGGAGTTTAATTGAGCAATGAACAATTTGTGAATTGGGCAACCCCCAGAATCACAGCAGATTCACAGAGACTCCATAGGTGCCTCATGGTCCTCATGGTCAGAACCAATTTATAGACAAAAAAGGTAAAGTGACTTACAGGGATTGGAAGTGAGGTACAGAAACAGTGAGATTGGTTAAGCTTCATTTTTGCCTTATTTGAATGCAGTTTGAACATTCAGCAGTCTATGAGTGGTTGAACTATGGCTGCTGGAATTGGCCAACATTCAGCCATTATTATAGGTGCATACTATTGAGTTAGGTTTTCAATTTTGTCTGACTATTAAGCTAGGTTACAGTTTATCCACAAGGACTCAAATGTAGAAATGTGAAGTTTTTCTCAGGCCATATTTAGTGTGCTGTAACAATTCCCCCATTTTGGTCATTTTCTCAAGTTTGAGAGACTAAAATATTAGTCATTGATGTTACTATGCCTACAGTGAATATACTTACATGGTTTTGAAACTCACTGGGAGTTTCAATAGTATAACAGTGGGTTTTGCAAGGAGAGAATAAGGACTGAGTAGAGGGTACCTCCTTATGCTGGAACGTCCTATGTACAGGAAAAAAACCGAAACCCAATCTGTTCTAGGATCTACATATTTTCTAAAGCCTTGGTTTGGTTATGTCACATTTAGCATAAGTGCCTCCATTTTGTTTGGTTTTGCTTGCTGGGGCCTAGTGCATGAGCTCAGTCCAAAATAATGGCCTCCCATAATTTTGTTTTAAAAAAACTTCCCCTTTTTTGGCCAGGTTCTTACTTAGGTGAGAGTGGGACCAAAACTTAAGGCCTTGGTGCCACTCTCGGCTATTATTTTGGGTTTCCAGTCTCAGTATGTCATTCATAGGTTATGGTATCCTCATGTCACACATTTCTTTCAGCTTTGGTCATTCCAGTTGAAGAGAGACCATTTGACATTATAGAGATGGCTGCATGAAAACATTTAAAACCTTTGAGAGATTACAGTGCACCAGGGAGACTATTACTATGGCTATTAGGATATTACCAAGAGTTTGGAATATGTGCCTTACCCAAAGTCCCCATAAAGCAAACCACATACAATCAAATAGATTAAAAAATGAGCTAGATGAAGAGTCTACTCACTTGACTAAGTGTCCTTTTTATTAATCCCCTACAACTGAATTTTTATAATCTACATTTGATGTATTTCTCCATAGGCCACACGTGTCAGCAGCTGCGCAGTTG